TTTCAAAGAGATCTTCGTACTAGATTCTAGATGTATTCTAAATGTGAGGAATACAACCCCGGGGGTACAAAATGACCCCAGAGCGTACGGATAGGGTTAATGTATCAATGTTACGTTTTTTGTTGTTTTTGTTTTTTGTAGGGGGTTTTGTGTGTTGTTTTTTGGGAGGCTTTTGTTCGTTTGTTTGTTGTTTTTATGCAGGTGTTTTATGCCTCACTTCCACACAATTTCGATCATTTAGAAAGCAGGCTTCCGACCCTGCCTGTCGGGGCCAACCCATGCTGAGAGGGATACAACATACCAGTAGAAAAACCGAGCAAGATGCTCTATAGAAATGTGTTTGCCACTAGGGAATTTAATCCATGAAATTTGTTTCATTTGCAATTAAAGTATCTTCTCCATCACAGGTTTTAGAAATCGGGATGCCATTAGAGTATAATTGTATTCTGGGAATGATGTACATCTGATTGTCTGATACAGGTAACATAATATCATTATTTTACTGATAACTCTGGGAATCTGGATAGCAGGCAAGTTTCTCAAATTCGATCCTCTTGTTGGCGAGATAGCCAAGTTGATAAACAGCAAACGACAACGGCCGGGTTTAGATAATGTATTCCCTCTCACTCACAGAGGAAGAAAGAAGGATAAAAAACCCAACACTCACACAACGTTAATTCTCTTTTATTGCAGTTTTCAGATTAACGACACAAGAGAAGCTGTCTCGTCCTTTGTTTATATTGACTAAGTACACCAAACAGAAACCATCCCCCATCGTTATTTTGGCGCGTGGAGACGTCCCTTATAATAGCGTGCGCATTCCATTAGATGGTCTAGACACTGAACAAGGTAAAGAATTTTGCCGAATGCGTTTAGTTTGTTCTGGTCTTCCTGCTGCCAGTTTGGCTAGCTTGGATCGGTGGCCAGATAACCTGGAGCAATTACCGCTAAAATGTCGGCCCGATCAAGTGTGACTTTCTCTGTCGGCTGGGATTATCATGTGACGCCCCACCATGCCAAGGCATTTCCACTCACTCGCTCGCTCTCTCGCTCGCTCGCTCCTCGTAATTTCTGTCTTTCCTGATCTCGTTGTTTGAACTGGAAATCAGTTCCACGTTCGGGTTTGATTGTTTTTAAGATGTTTTTCTCTTTTTTAATGTTCTTGGTCTTTTGAAAACTACGCACTGACTTGCACTGAATTGGTCCGACGAGTGTGGCAGACAAACAAGACTGACTGATATCACATTCCAACACATCGATCTATTTCAGTAATTTCTCCTTTTTTGTGCGTGTGTGTGTATGTGTACGAATCAATCAGTTTTGTCGGCATGATCTCATATAGTTGAATTATTTCCAACCGAGGAAATAATGCTTTTAAACTTGAAGTTTACTGTCTCGTTGGCTGCAGGCTTCTATGGTGTCTGTCAGAGTCAGATCAATAGTGCAGTAATGAACAGTCGCGATGTTGGTGCGCAAAACGGTGAGATTGCTCGTGAGCCAAACTTGCCTTTGTGTTGGTGATGTTAGGTGTCACTGATCTCCTTGATGAAAGGTGGGGAAGGTTGGGTGATGAATGTGGGTTCGTTTGGGAAGGCGTGCGGTTGGGGGAGGGGGTAGTGGCAGTTTGTGTGGCACGAATGACGTATATGGGTGGGGTCTTTTGCGTTTTGATTGAATGTGGAGACAATGGCGTCATCACAAATGGTGATGGGATTTAGAAATAATCGTAATACATGTACTTGAATTTTGATCACTCGGCAATGGGTTTGAAAGCGGGGGATGGAATGGGGGTGGGGGAGATTTTTAGAAAGGGGT